CAGCCATCACTAATTGATCATACCCGAGAAGTCACCTCAGACTCCTCAAGAGGCAGCCACTACGAGGCAATGAGACTTCAAACTTGAGTTCAAACCGATTTGCCACGCCTGGTTGAACTGGGGGCATTTTTATGGCACCAAAGCACCCTCACCCTTAGCCCTCCTGGCCCACCGGACTTCTTGGAGAGATAGTCTTAACAGCCTGAATATGGGTCAGTTTTTTCAGATGGGGAGATTGGAAGCACTACTCCTCTTCACCCCCTCTTGGAATCCATTCTGGGGAGAAATGGGAACCAAAATATCTCAACTCTTCCTCTTTTTCCCCTCATTAGGTCGGATTCTTCAAACGCTCCCTCCCATACGGCACCGCTATGGAAAAAGCTCAGCTCAAGCCTCCAGCCACCTCTGATGCCTGACTCCTTTCGATCCCAGACTCCCAATCCTGAAGGCCCAATCCGCCCACCCTCAGTCTACTGACTGGGAGGGGGCTGGGCACTTTCTGAAGGTGCTGAGGGCCGGGGAGAAGCTCCTCTCCCCAGCCCAGAGACATACTTGAAGGGCCAGAGCCGGGAGGTGAGGAGCTGGGGCTCCCCTCCCCCCACGCACTGTGAAGGACCCTTGTTTACACATGCCCTCCTCATGGATGGGGGGCCTCAGATCCAGGGACAGAGGCCCCAGGCTCCCTGCAGCCTTTGCATTTTGGAGTTTCCTGAAAGCAACTTGGAACCAGAACTGGGGAGTCCAATCCCAGTTCTCTGGCCCAGACATGCCACCAGGACTCCCTGTCCAGCTCCAGCCTGCAGAGATCTGTCCCCAGCCTTGCCAGAGAGCCACAGGAAGTCCCCAGCTAAGAACCTGGAACCTGGGGAGCAAGACATGGCAGCTCTGGACAGCCCGCACCCTGGTGGCCAACGAGGAACACTAACCGTGGATGGTGCCCCAGGCCCAGCTCAGGACAGATATCCCACACCAGGATCGACGCTGGCCTGGAACCAACCCCAAGGGGAATCAGAACTCTAACGGGGCCAGATCGAACCTGGGGCCCGGGGTTGATCTGGGACCCAGACTCAGACATTGGTAACCTAACGAGGCAGATCCAGGACTACATTTGAGCCTGCTCCAGACCTGGGCCTGGAGGCCCACTCCACCTCTGACTCAGGAGAAGTCAGGAACTGCCCGGGACCCTGAAGGGGCCGTGATGGCACCAGATCTGGTAACTTAACCCTGGCCAGATGCAGGCCCTCCCCAGTCCCCGGAGAAAGGGGGAGCCCACTGTCCTGGGCCTGCAGGATCTGGGTTCTGCCCGCCAGCTGCACTGACGCTGCCCCTCCGCTCCCTGCCCAACTCTCCCTCCACCTCGGCTCCAGATACCCAGGACTTATTTAAACTCTGTTGCAAGTGCAATAAACCCGGCCCAGTGCCCCCACTGACCAGAGCTGGAATCTGTCCTACCCCACTCTTTCCAGGCCCATCCTGGAACCAGACCACTGGGTGGGTAGGAAATGCCTGTTTCTTACAGCTTCTTTCCATGGGGAACCAGGAGTATGACCCCCAGGAACTGTGGAGCTAGTTTTGTGGTTCCCTTTTCTTAAGTGAAAGAGATGATGGAAGGGGTGAGAGAGGGCTTGAATCCTCTGCCCATCACCCAGCCCCACCAGGTCTGGTCCCAAAAGGCTCCAGAAGAAGGGAGAGGAATCCCTTCTCTTTGTGTTGGAAGATTAGTGAAGAATGCAGAGGGGCAGGGGACCAAGCTAAAGGTGGGGGAAGATGGTCCAGAAGACTCACCTGGGCTTCCCTAAACCAGAGCAATGAAATGGGTTGAGAGAAAAGGCCACAGAACTAAATCAGAAGAAAGCTGGTTAGATTTTTGTTTTGTTTTAATTGCCTACTGTATACTGGTGGGTAGACATTATCTCATTTAATTTTTATCCATCATCCTGTGGAGTAGGTACATTTACACGAGGGGAAATTGAGGTCCAGAGAGGTTATGTAATTTATTCAAGGTCACACAGAGTCAAATTCAGCTTTGCCAGACTGTGAAAGCCCTCGTTCTTAACCAACATGGCATAGGGTTCGGGTCTTTGGGAGAAGTCAGAATGAGGGAACCCCTCAGGGTCCTCTGTCTCCTCGAGGTCTGTCCTAATGTCCAGCAAGAGAACGAAGAGGGGTGCTGAAATTCTAATGAAATTTTAAGAGGCAAAGATGTCCATGTCCTGCTAGACCAGAATTGAGCCACCAGAGGGCAGCACAACCACAAGTTCGTAGGAATTTGGGGAAGGGAGGGTCCTCACTCTTTCTCCATCACCAGGGCTATTCTTATTAACTTAGGCTCCCACCTAGCAGTGCCTGCATGATCTCAAAATACCTCTCCTGAGACACCAAGCCTGCTCCACACTCCAATCTGTGACTTCTGATATTTCCATACTGCAGGAACTTCTTCCCAGAACCCATGCATGCAGAGGGACCGATTGGGAGGGGGAGTCCTGATGAGGCAAAGAGCCACGCAGTATTCCCCAGGATGACAGCTGTGGCACATCAGGGCACTGGGAATTCTTGAGGAAGGAAATCCCATACTCTCCCCCTCTGGGGGGAGGGGTGGGAGTGGCATCAGTCAAACCCCAGGGGCCAAATCTGAGATGTCTTACACTATTGTGAGGAGGAAATGAGGAGGGGAAGTGGGCTGTAAGTATTGGGCTGTTCTCATGGGTGTGTCTGTGTAGTGCCTCCACCTCTGAGTCTCAGAGAGTGACAAGGTCTCCCCTGAGGATGCACAATACAAGGTAGGAATTCCTTGGGCTCAGAAATGCTGCAGATGTAACCTAGCACCAGCCTCCCTGTCCCTGAACTGTAATTCTCAGGCGCTTGTCTGTTTCCCCTTCCAAATCTCCCAGACCCTCCAGAGCATGTCTGCCTCCCATCTTGAGACTTCAATGATGCAGAGGGACATGAGGGTAGAGGGCTAGAGGGTCGGGGTCAGGCCTGAGTCCTAGCTGTGTCTGTGTCAGTGGAGACAGAAGGGAGGCCCCAAGAAGGGACCAGAGCAGCTGGGGGCGCAGGAGGGGGAGGGGGCGCAGAGAGGCAGCTGGCAGGCGGGAAGCTGATCGGGGGTCTCAAGTTTCTTGACATCAATTAGAGCAGCCGGCCTGGGCTCATTAGTAGCCAGGGGTGCAGGGCTCATCAATAATGAATTCACCCTGCACCCTGCCCCCTTCCAGCTGCCTGCAAGGTCACCCCGCCCTCTAGCCAGCTGCCTCCCCTTGGTGAGCTAAGCAGCCCCTCTTCTGAGACCTCTCTAACTCCAAGTCCCCAGGGGCAGTGGGGGGGGTGAACAAAGCTGAGGGCAAAGGGGTCTCTATCACCTATCGGCCACGCCTGATGCTGACTCTAGTTTGTTCTCTGAGTCCACCCACGAGAAGAAAGAACGGGAAGAGGCAAGGAGGAGTATATGTGTGGGGGATGGATAACAAGGTCTGGGAGAAGCAGGCTTTGTGATTCTAGGGTCAAACAGCATAGTGGTAGGTCAGATCTGGAGCAAGAGGACCTCCTCTGATGGGCTTGGAGACCCTACCTTCTCCCCCAAGATCAGACTTGGGCAGCGAAGCCACAGTTCCCTGAGATCTCTGAGCCTCTGGATCAGAAAAAGACCAAGGCACTGGCAGCCCCAGAATCCTCTTGCCCTCAAGCTGAAGCACCTTGGCAGGTGCAGAAACATATCTTGTCTTCAGACCAGATCAGTGGGGTAAGAACAAGAGACTGCTGAGGCCCAGAAATAGGAACTTGAACTTCCTGTACCTTAATTAGCCATCTAGTCCCAAATTCCCTGCAGGACCCAGGAGTGCAAGTCCCCAGTCCCTTTCCAGTTTCCTAGACTGTTCCAAGACTCCAGTCCCACCCCTCTTCCACTGACTTCTTCCTCCCTGGCTCCACCTTCCCTAAGTCCCAAGCATTATAGTTCCTAGTCACAGCTCCTTTCCCTTTGGCTGGGGTTGGCCTGAAGCTGGCTGCCTGGCATTCTGGGATATCCTCCTGCTGCCCTCCCTCTTGGGCAGGTACAGACAGGTCCAGGCTGTAGCAGCTCTCTCTTCCCCAGACACCTTGCAGACTCCCAGACTCCAGCCTCGTGTTGCCATCCCAGCTGCCCGCCTCTAGCCAAGGCCCCCTATCAGTGCTTAGAATACATCCGGTGTGCTGTACTTCGCCTTCCCCCCGACATTCTCCCCAGCCCATACATTCTTATCCTCCGTCCTCCCCTCCACTTCATCAAAGACCCCCCAGCAGGCCTCTTCAATCCAAGCTCACCTTAGTAGGGAATGCCCTGGATAGATGCTCCCATCCCCACACCAGTCCACGACATGTCTACAAGGTTGAGCCTCAGTTCTGGATCTTCTGTCATCTTCTGGTTGTCCTAATGATCTCAGTTGCAAGCTTCTATTTCTACCTCTTTGGGTCCTTTGATTGCAGTCTCTTCCCTCAGACCTTCCCTAAGGACCTAAGCATTCAGACCCCAGCCAGAGATCAACCTGGGGTCCATCTTCAGCCCCACGTTTCACCACTGAGACCCAGCCCCTAGGCATCCAACTCCAAAGTCAGAGGAACAAGCTAGGACCCAAATATTCTCTGCCCCACCCCCTGCCCCCACCCAGCTCATCACTCTGGAGAGGATTCAGGTGTCCAACCCAGGCCCCATCCCTCCCCAGAGTATTTAGGCATCCCTCACCCCATATCAGCCCATGACCAGACTTCCCGCCCTCAGACTCAGCCCTTCGCAGAAACCCAGGCATCTTCGTTTCCAGCTTCCTGTATCAGCACACACCGTCTTCTAGATGACTTGCTCCCCTAGCCCTGACTGCAGTGACACTGTAAATCCAGGAGACTCAGGGGCAGCAAGCAGAAGAGACAGCGGGAGGGGGCGCGAGGAGCCGCCAGGACGCCCCCTCCTGGAGCCCTGGGTGCCCGGATCCCCGCTCCTCCCGTCTTCACCTGCTGCGGGCTCCGCCCCCGCTCCTCCTCGGCCGGCCTCGGCTCCTCCCCCGACTCCACCCCCCGTACCCCCAGCCTAGCCAGAACGGCCCCCGGGACAGAGCGACGCGGAACCCCGGGCGCCAGGGTCCCCAGCATGATCCTCGGTGAGTGGGCTCTGCGGCTCCAGGCTCCAGGCTCCTGGGTCCCTCTCAGTAGGTCACCCCCGCCCAACCTCCGGCACCGCGGTGACTGCGGCCGCCCGTCAGCGACCGATTCCCCCTCCCCCTTCATCTGGCTCCACATCTGGGGCCCCCTCTTGCCCTCTTCCCCAAACTGCTGCTTCTTCTCCCGGGAATCTAGGGAGTGGTAAAGGGGGAGGCAGAGCCAAGTGAGACCCCCTGCCCCATAATGAGAACATTGCGTATTCATGAGGCTCATGAATATTATATGACAGTCTACGAGAGGCTGGGGGAGGGGGCTGGTCCCGGCCTGGTGGAGTTGAGGGAAAGGTTCGGACCCGTCCTCTCCTCACCCCCCAGCGCCTCCCCTCACCCTTGGCTCAAACACTCCGACATCCTTCTGGGCCCAGGATAAGAGGGAAAGGAGGAAGTGGGGGGCGGGCGCGGGGGGGTGGGGGGAAGAAGATGGTGGGTGTAGCTTCGAGGTGTGTGCGGTGGGAGGTGGAACCTGCAAGCTGAAGATAAGGGGCCTGGGGAGAAGAAGGGGTGGGGAACTCTGCATCCCCGGGCCCCTGCAGCTTGGATCCTGTCTCCGCAGCCATCCTGCCCCAACACGCTGGGACCTGCCCCTCTCTCTCCCTGCTCCGGCTGCCTGGGCCCTTCCTTCCCGGCCTCCTTCTTCTCCTTCTTCCCCTACCCCACCCCCACCCCTGCCCTGGGCCGGGGGCACCGGGAGAGGAAGGGGCCTTGGAGAGAGTGAGGATTGGGGAGGGAGACTCCCGCCAGGCTCCCACATCCCTTCAGCCACAACCACCCATGACCTACATGGGAAGGGAGCCCCGGGTGGGGGCGGAGAGGGACTACTGCACACTGGACTCATCAGCTGGGCTCCAGGCCCGGGCCTCCACAGTAGTCCCTGGGTCTGCTCTGTCCTCTGACCTCTGACCTCTGCCCTGGCTAGGCCGGTTCCTGGGCCTTGTTTGTGGTAGGAGACCCCCCACCAGGCCCAGACACCTGCGGTCTCCCTGCCCCCCACCGGGGACACTTGGCTCCAAGCTGGCGCCCCAGGGCTCCCCTGGCTCCCGCCTCAGCCCTCTGCTGGTGCCTCCTTGGCTCTTTTGCTTTTCTTCTTTCACTTGACCCCTATTGACTCCCACTAGGGGTCTCTCTCCCCTTCTGCCCTCCTTCCTCCATATCTTCTCTCCCCCTCCTCTATCTCCTCACTCTCTCACCGCTTTATGTCTGCCCTCCTGCACCTGGCACTCCATCAAATCTATTAAATGAATGAGCGGATGGAGGGATGAACACCGGCTGCCTGCCTCCTTCCCAAGAGTATCTCTGGCAGGGAAGAGACTCCCCACTTTTCTATGAAGACTGTCCCTACTCTAAAGTGACCCCCACCAACACACTGGGACTCAGGTCCCCAGAGGACAGGCTCCATATTCCTTTAAGCTGTGCAATCCCCACACCCTGGATCCACCCTGGGCACGGGCCCCAGAGGCAGCATCATGCTTGTTCAGGAAAGGCCAGTGTAAGCCATGCTCCCCCTGGGCAGTAGGCCTTGGAGAAGACCTCAGGAAGCTGCTCGGACCAGACCAAGACCTCCTACCACAGGCAGAATGCCAGGGGCCACCAGCTGGACCCCCCACCACATCTCCCTGAGGTCACAGTAATTAACTCCCTGCTTGTGCCTGGACAACGGAGGGTCAGGAAGCCTGGCAGGCCGCACACCTTACCCCTCTTTGAGGAAGGAAAGGAGAGAGGCAGGAAGCTTCCAGGCAGGGCTCGAGGCCCATTCTAAGGCTTTCAGGTTCCGAATGCTGAGGTCCACTGAACCTGGGTGCAGGTGAGGCCCAGCCCACCTGTTCAAGAACTAGTCTGTGGGCCAGGTTTAAGGTGGTGGTTTGGGGCTCAGGTTTCCCGTTCTGAGCCCTTCCTACCCTTCTCCCCAACTGGGCCCCTGCTGGGCTGATGTGGGTGGGTCGGGGGAGGGCATTGAAGGAGGCCTTTCCCGTCAGCCTGGGGAAGATTTCCCAGGGGTCTTCCTTCTTCCTTCCCAGGCTACCTCCTCCCTTTAGGCCCTGCCCCACTGACATTCACCCCAGGGTTATTAAGGATGATGGTTTGAGTAGTTGTTCATAATCATCCCCTTGTTGCTTTCATCTTTGACTTCAAAGCCTTCCCAGCACTCAGCCTGCCTCTTGGCAAGATGGGGGAAATTGAAGCAGAAGGAGACAGATACCTGGGACTTGGTGAAGACGGCAAGGTCCAGGATTTGAGGCCCGCCCTCAACCCCCAGCTTTAGGCATTTCTGGGGTTAGAAAAGGCCAAAAGGCCTGAAGAGAAAAAGAGATGGATTAGAGATGAAATTCCAGTCCAGATTCCAACCCCGTTTCTCCTGTGGTCCCGGAGCATAATTCCCACTTTAACCCAGTGCTGACCCTGTGCTTTTGGCCAGTTTGGGCCATAACATGACTTGCAACCCTAACCCCAATGCCTGTCTCTGATCTGAATCTCATCCCTGCCCGATCTCCAGGCCAGCGCTAACCTGCAGCCCTACTCTAACACCCTTCCTGGCTCCTGTTCCTACACAGACGCTGCCACTCCCTGAGCCAGCTCACAGCAGACACTCCCATGCTTTGCCACGAGGGCTTCAGGCCCCAAGCCCAACCTGAGACAGCCAAGGGGCTGGGACTCCCACCTGGGCAGAACTTCTGGGGGAGAGAGGAAGGAAAAGACCAGCCCTCAGTGGGATGGAAGGAGTCGGATGGGGCTTGTTGTGGCTTGGTCCTGGAGGGAAAACCTGAACAGGGTCAAAGTGCCCAGGGCTAGGTAGGGCGCCGAAATGGACAGGTGGACATCCATCCAAGGGACTGAGAGTTCACCCACTCTAAAGTGTGTTAGGAACTGTCTTTAATAAAGCGTTTGGCTGTTCCCCACAGAGCTGGGTGGGGCTCTAGCTGCTGGAGGTAAGTACTCTAATGAGCTTCCCTCTGGAGTGGCCTGTCCCAGCCAGACCCCAGCTCCTCCCTGCCCTGCCCCACATGTGTGTGCACACCTACACGCGCACACATACACACACACATGCACACTCCAGTTTGCTCTCCGCGCCCTCCTGCAAACCCACCTGAAGCCCTCATCAGAAGCCCTGAATTGCCTACTGCATTTCCTGCTTCTCAGCCCTCGGTGTATTCTTGTCTTTCACCCCTCCCATCCCTAGAAAAGTGTGGTGCGTGAAAGCCACGTCTGAAGCCAGACAGACCGGTTCAGATCCCTCACCAGCTGTGTGACCTTGGTCAAGTAACTCCCTCTCTGAGCTGATGGTCATCATCTATCAGATGAGGATTTGTTTATTCAGCAAACATTTATTGAGCTTTCTTTGTGGCAGGCCAGCACTTTATGTGGATGTATTCAATCTTCCCAACAACTCCACGAGGCAGGTACCATTGCTCTCATTTGACAAAAGAGAAATGAGACAGAGAGTCCAGAAAACGAGCTGGTTACCCAGCTAGTGAGCGGTGGAGTCGTCCACAGGGAGGCAGTGTGCATAAAGTGCCTGGCATACAGGCAGCCCTCAAAAAGTGACAATTGTTATTGTTCTCAGGAAGTAAGGGAGGGAACTGAGGCTTGGGCTACCTAATGCCAAGGGCCCTGCTTCTGCCCACTTGGTCCATAAGCTGCCACCTTCCCCCACCCCCTCAGATCTCAGTGGAGGGGACCCAGGGATCTTGGAAAAAGACACATGAATCTCCAGTTGCCCATCTTGCTTCCTTGCCTCACTGCATCCTTACTTCACCCCTTCCTCCCACTTCCCCTTCCCTGCCCCCACCCCAGGGTGCATGTCAGTGGAAAAGATGAGTCGCTGGCCAGAAGGAACTGAGTGGCTGCTACCTGTTTCCTTCCAACCCCAAGCAGCGCCTGGAACTTGTTCTCCCCTTTCTCTCCTCGGTCAGGATGGAAGCTTTGCCCAGGTCTCTGCTCCAGAGTTAGACTGGAGCCCTTTGGGGTTAGATAGCAAGAAAGAATTTACTACAGAAGGCAACAGATCTTGATTCAAATCCCAACTCTGATACTTACAAACTGTGTAACATCAGCCAAGTTGTTTGTTTTTAACTTCTCTGAGCCTCAGTTTCTTCATATGTCAAACGGTTAAACACTAGTATCAGCTGCGCCATAGAACAGCTCCCTCAGAGATTAAATGTGATAATACTCAGAATCCATTACCTGACACAGAGCGGCTCCCGAATACATGCTTTTCTGTTGCCTTTTGCAGAACTCACCTCTCCCCTCTGAGATGGGTGTTTGAGGGGTGGGCGTCTAGAGCCGGGAAAAGGGTCAAGGAGCTGAGCTGCCACCCTCTCTGGGCCTGGAGCTATGGGGCGAGAGCAAGTGCCAGCCCCCAACCAGCTGCTCGGGGTGGGTGCTGGGTGCCGGGGACTCTGGGAGTGCTCAGGTTTCTGTCACCATTCCTGATGCCGCCTGGGGCTCGTTAAGGCTGCCCTGGCCTTGTGTGCCAGGCGGAGGGGGCGGGGCATGGAGGGGAGAAGCCATGAGGGGACAGACAGGAAGGGGAGATGGTCACCCTGCCCCATCAGTCTGTCTGTCCCTCCCTCTCCTCTCTCCCTCTCTTGCTCTCTGTTCTCTGTCCTTCGGGCTTTCTGCCCTGGTCTCTAGCTCTGCGTCCAGCTTTTCAGTGGTGTCTCTGCTTTTCTCCCTCAGTTCAGTGCCTCTTCATCTCTCCATTGTCCTCTGTCCTCTTCTCTCTGTGTCTATGTCCCTTTTCTCACTCGCCTATTCCTGCTTCTGTCAGTCTTTCCCATTCTCTCTCACTCACTTTTGTCTGTCTGTCTGTCTGCCTCTCTCCTCTCCCCTGATCCCATCCCAACCCCGAGGTGGCGGAAGAGGGACTGGCCATGGCATACAGACCCCCAGCTGCCCAAGGGCCAAAGCCAAGCATCCTGCCCCTCTCCTTCAACCCTTTGATGTCTGGAGCCCAAGCTCCCAGGAGCCTTGACCCTTCTCTGCCTCAGGCCCCCTGGCCGCCCAGTCCTATCAGTGGGTGGAAAGGACAGACCCCTCCAGACCTTCCTGGACCAGCTCCCTGCCCCCAGCTGTGCCTGAGCCCTCCCCACCCCCTCCCTCTCGCCTCCGATTCCCCTAATCCCTGCTCCCCCGCCCTCCCCTCTGCCCCAGTTTTCCAGGACTCTGATTGGCTGATCCTACTGACTGGACTGGGGGGGGGGCTGGCAAGGGAGGGGGCAGGGGGCAGAACCAAGGGAAGGGGACGCTGTCAGGCCCAGGCCCCTGGGGGGCCAGGGCCAGGCCACTGCCTGGGGGCAGCGGGCACCAGACACTGAAGGTATGGAAAGGGACAGTCTCTGGAGGGAGCAGGAAAGGATCCTGGGGGGGACCCTCTGCCCCAGTAAGGTCAAGGGAGGACGGGGCTAAGCTTGCAGACTCCTGGGTTTGCCTTTGTTCCTGGGAACCCCTGTTGCTGGCAGGGGCTTGCTCGAGCAGTGAAGGGCAGCCAGAGTTCCCTGACTGCTTGACAGCGAGGTTGCAGAAGGGAGCTGGACCGGCAGAAGCTCAGAGGGGTCCTGGGGGCTTCTGGGCTTCCCCTGTGGAGTCTGGCAGGGTTCCTCCCATGGGTCTAGGGGAGGAGGAGAAGGTTTCAGGGGAGGGGAGTGGAGTGGCTGGCCTGGACTTTCATTTCCCCTTCAGGTCAGACCCAGGCATTCCCCTCCCAGAGGCCAGGTCGCAGTTCCTCCTGCAGAGCTGGAGCTGAATGTCCCACTGCTGCCAGAGTGGCGTGGGGAAGACAGGAAGGCTGGGAGAGGGGCGCTGAGAATGGCCCCAGGCAATCCACCTCCCAGAGCAAATGTCGCTCACCTACCCCCAGAGATGTCGGCAGTTAATTAAGAATTATGACTGGGACAAAATCATAACTCTTGAAGGAGCCTTGAAAGAGTCAGTAACCCTCGTCCAGATCTAGGCCTCAATATCTCCCCCAACTCCTCAGGCAGAGAGATGAATCACCCACCTGACTGTTCTCCCTGGGGTGCGACTAAGGCTTTGGGATTCCCTGGGGGAGAGCAAAACCGGAAGAGGGGAGTGGCCAGGAGCCTGGGACTCCCAGGCCTGCTGGTCCAGCAGGCAGCCCACAGGGAAGGTCCCTGCTCTTCCTTGGTCTGTAAAAGGTCTTGGGGGAGGGAGGCTGGAGAAGGGGGAAGTGAAAATCACCCAGAAGGGAAGAACGATGGGTCTGCACCCTCCCCCAGGCCCACAGGGCACCGTGCTCCATCGCTCTGGAGCCAGAAGCAGGGGAAGTGTGTGTGATGGGGGCTTCTGAGCATCGGGGCCCCAGCTGGGGAGTGGGACTGACAGACCTGGGTGGGGCTCCCAAGCTGCAATCTTCCTACCCCACATAATGTTTTCTTTGCCCTGTAGGCAGCTTGAGCCGGGCAGGGCCCCTCCCTCTGCTCCGGCAGCCCCCCATCATGCAGCCCCCGCTGGACCTCAAGCAGATCCTGCCCTTCCCATTGGAGCCCGCACCCACCCTGGGCCTCTTCAGCAACTACAGCACTGTGAGTAGCAGCCTGCTTGCCGGCCCCACTCTCCTGTGCCCCTGCTCTTTCTCTCCCTCGGATCCATCCCTGCCCTCTTCTCCTCTTGTATCTAATTCCTCATCTCCTCTTAGGACCCCATCTCCCTCACTTCTAGTCAGTTATGAGGGTCGTTGGCTTCTGGTATGCCATGGACAGCAATAACAGCAATAGCTAATATTTGCTGAGGTCTGGTTCTGGGCCAGACAGTGTGCGAAGCACTTTATATGAATCATCTCATTCAGTTCACCATTAGAAAAGTCATGAGACCTAGGCTGGCAGTAGTGACTACAGGGAGGTGGGAAGACGGGCGATGCAAAGGCATAAGCAGCCTGTCTGTAAGTTCCCACTCTCCGGAGCCCACAGTTGGGTGGGTCAGGTCAGTGGGGTAGGGCTTGGAGGGCTGGCAAAGTTGTCTAGATTTACTGTAACATGAAATAGGAAGCCATGATCTGTTCTTGAGCAGGAATGTGACTTGGTAGGGGCAGTGTTTGAGGAAGGTGAATGGAGCAGCAGGATGGAAGGGAGGAGAGGCTGGAGGAGGGTGGCCAGTTGGAAGGCTATCCCAGCAACACGGGCCTGCAGGGGAGCCTGGAGCACCAGACGGGGCCCATGGCAGCGGCAGAGTGAGTGGAGAAGAAGGAAGATGGACGAGGTGTTTCCAAGGAAATATTGACAGGCCATGGTGACCAACCAGTGTTTGGGGGTTGGGGAGAAGAGAGAGGATGAGTCAAGAATGACTCCAGGGTTCTGGCCTCTGCGGATGGGAGAAAGAAGTCACCGTGACAGGGGCAGGGGGTTGGAGGAGGAAGCTGGCCTGGGATGAGGCTGCTGAACACGTCTAGGACATGGTGCGTTGGTGGACCAATGGGACACTGAGCCAAAAATGTCCAACAGACAGTTGGAATTCGGGGCCTGGAGAGTGGGCTAGAGCTAAAGACTTGGGGGGAAATCAGTTTATTCAACTTAGGTAACCCACCATCAAACCAGATTCAGCTGCAAACATGCACTGAGCATCAACTACGTACCAGGCACTGCAGTAGATGTTTTTATACGTGATCGCATTTAACCTTCGCCACTACCCAAAGAGGTAGATGTTATTATTCTATTTTGATATACTGGAAGACAGAAACTAAGGCGCAGAAGGGTTTAGAAATTCATCTAAGTAGACACTGTACGTGCCTAAGGTATGGTTTGAACCCACAGCGTCTGACTACAAATAGAGTCCTCTTTATGCCACAGCTGTTTCCTCCAAATGTCTCCCAGAGAATCCAAACCAACATTTGCATTGCACTTTGAGGTTTACGAAGCATTTTCCATATCTCAATCTTTTTAGCAACCCTATGGGGTAGCTGTCATTTTATCCTTGTTTTACAGATGAGAAAATCGAGTACTGATCATAAGGAAGGCACTGTCCTAGATACGGTGGAGACATGAGGGTAAATGTGATACGGTCCGATCCTGAAGGTGCTTATGTTCAGGGAAGAAGTATAGAAACGTACACAGCGATCTATAAAATACTGAGGCAGAGACACTAACAAAAATTCAACTGAACAAAAAAAATTTTGAGCACCTACTATGTCCAGGGCACAGCGCCTTGTGTCAGGGACACAGGACTCAGTCTGTGCTTGGAGAGCTCACGGTTTAGTAAGAATGATAACAAATTAACAGCTACCCTACAGTGTGGAAGGAGCTGTGTCGGAGGCAGATAGCTTGTAGGGGAGCCCAAGTGAGTATCAAGAAAAGGCTTGCTGGATGCGGTGGTGCCTCAGGGATCAACCAGAGCTGAGCAGAAAAAAAAAAGAGCAGAGGAAAAGGGGATTGAAGCTGGACCAGGTGATGTTATGATTTGAGCTTTGAGGAATTATTAGCAGGACTTTAAAAGGGACCTTAGAGAATATTCCAAGTTGAAACAAGGGCTAGAAAAGAGCATTTGAGAATGTGCAGTTGACTGGGTGTGACTGGAGCAGAAGGTGCTGGGAATACTTCCCACCAGCTGCATATTTGATTTACACTTAACCTCAGGACTCCCACCATTGTCCCCGTTTTACAGATGAGGAAACGCAGACCCAGAGAGGTTGTGACTTGCCCAAGGTCACAAAGTTACTTAGACAATTCACGTGGATAATCCAGGGTGTCTGAGTCCCTCAGGGTTCATGGCTCCAGCCTCTAGTGGGGACAAGCTATTTAAAGCCAGGAGCGTGGATAAGCTTGGAGAGTGTGACCGAGTGTTGAGCAGCATCAGCCTTGGCATCTGACTGGCAGGATTTGAACTGATGTTCCAGAAGTACTGGCTGTGTGACTTAAGGCAAATTACTTAACCACTCTGAACCTCAATTTTATTAGCTGTAATAGTACCAACTCACAAGGTTGTTGTGAGAATCATAATGCATATCATAACGCCTAGCACAAAGTTTTCCATCAGTGTTAGCTGCTATGGTTATTGTGTTATTTCTATTATTTTTTTATTTAAGAGAGGATCAGGGAGAGAAAGGTAGTTTGGCCAAGGTCTGAGCCTTGGGGAATAAGCAGAATTAAGCAGTGGGAACAGGAGGAGTCTCCAGCAAAGGAAATGAAGGAGCCACTGGAGGGGGTGGGGACACAACCATGTTCCTGTAGAGTTGGAGAAGCCAAGGGAGAGAGTGTGGCAGGCTGCATCAATAGTGTCAAATTCTGCAGGGGAACAAAGACTGCAGAAAAGCTGCAGGCGGGCCTTGGCAGTTCCGTGCAGCAGTTAAGTACATGGCTTTGGAGTCAGGCTGCCCAGGTTTAAATTCAAATCCCAGTTCAGCCACTTACTAGCTTATGACCTTGGGCAAATTATTGAGCCTCTCTAAACCTCAGTTCCCTCATCTATAAAATGAAGATAATAATAGTACTTACTTCGAATAGTGGTTGTGAAGTTTAAATTAGATAATCCATGCAAAGAGCTCAGTACAGAGGCTGGCACATTCCAAGGGCTCAGTCAACATTAGTCTGTGGTGGTGATGGTATTATTATTCATGGCAGAGTCTCTCCTTCCCTGCACTAATGCTTCCAGATCTCTCTCCTACTCCGGCTGGTCTAACCCCTTAGACCCCTCCCTGCTTTAGGCTTCCCTCTGTCCTTGGATGTCCCTCACTGTCTCCCAAAGACAGCCTCTCTCTGCATCCAGTGCCCTGTTTCACTCACCTCTTGGCCCTAAGTGGAATGGAGAAGATGAGATCCAGAGATGAGAGCGGGAATCCTAGAACCTACTCAGAGAGAATAAGGAAGTGTTTTGGGAGTGGGCTGCTCTGCCCTCCTGTGCCTCGAACCGCGGTGCTGCCCCCACGCGACCGCCAGAGGGCAGCAAGTGCACGAAGCATAACTCTTCGCGAGCCTGGTTCTCCAGCAGGTGGCGGGCGAGGGGAGGAGGTGGGAAGAGGTTAAGGACCGTGTCCCCAGACTGAGGTCGCTTCTGCCCTGGGCGTCCCCAGCTCCACCATTCAGAGGAGTCACTGACAGAGCAGTGCCTGCCACCTGGGTACCTGGGCTTGGTTTCCCATCCCTAGCAGAGGAAGTGAGGTAAAAGGGGCACCGGGGCCGTGTGCAGGAGGAGCAGGGGAAGGGTCGTCTGGGGACTCGAAAGAGAAGCTGTCAGCAGGGGAATTAAGTGGAAGGGATGAAAGAAAGGAGAAAAGTCCTCACTAGAGAACAGGGTCGGCCACTGGATTGGTGGGGATACTGGACCCTGCAAGGGTCCCCAGTGGAGGAAGCCGAGCTCATCTGGTCCATGCTCCGTCGTTCCGCCCAGGGGCCCCTATCCAGAACCAGGTCTTCCTGGAACGAGTGTCTGGACATAGACACCCCCTCCCCTCCTTCCCTCCTCTTTTCGCCCTAGGGCCCCTTCATCCCTCCCAAGCTCCCTATCCCCGCCCTCATGTTCGGCCCTCCCTCGGCCCCGCCTCTGGGGCGGGCTCCGGTCCCGGCCGGCGCCGCCTCCCCTTCTCCCGGCCGGCCCGGCCGCACAGCCCCGAGCCACCCGGGCAACGAGCGCCGCGTCCCCGGCCTGCCCGGCCCTGCCAGGCTCGGCCCCTCTGCCCGGGTCCGCTGTCCCGGGCCATGGAGACGCGTCCCCCGGGGTCCCGCAGGGTAAGCCACCCGGCCCCTCCTCTCTCCTTGGCTCCCGCCGCTGCCGCAGAGCCCCCCACCCCCCACCCCCATCCCCGCCCGCCCCTGCCCGGCTCCCTACCTCTCTCTTCGCCTAGTCCTCGGGTTATCCGGCCCATCCCCCACTACCGGCGCGTCCCCAACCAGTCTCTGGGTCCCAGCTGGCGCCCCCAGACTGCTGCCACCATGCTGGATACCCCGGCCTCTGTTTCTCAGATCCTCGGAGTCCCTCAAATCTTCAGACTTCCCATCAGGTCCTACACCTACCCTCAAATTGCCATGCCGCTCAGATCCCTTATCCAACCCTGACCCCATCTCAGCCTCAGTCCCCTCCGTAGCATCCCTCCCCCACCAGCCTCCACCTGCTCTTTACACAGCCTCTAGCTACCTCTCTTTCCTGTTTCAATCCTTCCTGTCCCTAAGGTCTTCCCATCCCTGAGATTTCACCCCCTTCTCTTTTTGCCTTTATTTGGGGGGGGGGATGAAGAAGTGAGGTGGTCACACAGGGGCAGCGGTGCCATCAGATAAAAGGCAATGGAAGGAAATATAATCATAGCCCCCCCTTGTGTTCCTGATCTGGTTTCCCCCTTCCCTCCCCTTTGCCCTTCCTGATTCATTTTGCCCCAGCTTCGGGGAGCTATTCCCTTTCATGTCTGCTGTTGGAGGGCAGGTGGGAGGGGACTGTTTCGTGAACCTTTCCAGACAGTGTCTAGGCCAAAATCCTAGGGAAGAGACTCTGGAGTGGGATGAGCTCTGGGAGATGCTGGCCTCCACCCCTCCCCTGAGAGCCCTCATCTAGGTCACCAGGGCCTCTTGACCTTGGCCTGGAGCAGCACTTCAATGGCTCACATTCCATCTGCGCAGGGATTGGGACCAGGGGCCCTCACCTTCAGCCTGGTATCTCCTCAGTTCCTGGAGGAGAAGGTGAGAAGGACCCACCTGACAGGGTTGCTGCTTTCTTCCCTGCCCACCCCCACCCCTTGTCGGTGTTTATGGACTTAAACCTGAGGAGGGGGTTGTGCAAAAGAAAAGGCTCTCACCCTGGAGAACTCAAGTGGAGCAGGGATCATTTGCAGGGGATGGATGTTGGGATGGTCAGCCCACAGGTCATCCTCAGGGCACCGGGTCCTCAGCCACTCCAGGGAGCTGGCTGAGGTTCTGGCGTGGAACAGAGACAGAACCAGGGGCCTCTGGTCTCCCTCTACATCCCACTCCTCTCTCCCTACTGTTTTCATCGACTTAGGTTTCCTGGCCCAGATTGGGTTTCTGTTTGGGCTGAATTCCATTCCCCACCCAGGATGTGAGGATGTCCAGGGGCTGAGGAGAACCCTGGGGCAGAGCTGGGGGTCTCTGGTTAGGGAGGACTGATGCTGGGAGACTGGGAGCTGAGAGCAGTCATCTGCCTTCCCCTTTCTGATTAAAGCCTGTCTCCAATTCGGTCTGTCTGTCTTTCTGCCAAACACATCATACAATCACACCAATAAACACACAGCTGAAGATTGCACAACCAGACCATTCACGGCTTCGGCAGAGCCCCTGACACAGAAATGTTGATACATAAGTGATGTACACACAGCACATGACATGCCTTCACACCCCACCCCTGCACAGATTGATCGTACCCTGCCTAGACACATACTGACACACCCAGTCTTCCCATGTTTGGCTTTTCGTTGAAAAGGACCTGGGCTTCCAGAAGGTGAAGAGCAAGCCACTAAGAGGGGCTGCTTCCAGCCAAGGGCAGACCGAGAGATGGACACTTGTCAGCCAGACTGGTTATCTGAACTCCTGCCTCTGTCACTGCCAAATGGGGCAGCCCCTTTTCCAGGGATGCTAACGCCCCTCTCCTAACATTAACCCAGCCAGCCAGACGACCTGGGGGGGAGCAGAGGGGAGCCGGGATGTGTGGGCTTTCCAGACCACCTTCTTCCCCTGCTGCATGTTCCTGTCTCTCACCAGTGTCTCACTGGGAACCATGAAGACCTGGGCCGAGGAAGGGCCTCAGCTGAGGAGCTAAGGACCCCCCAAGTCTCCAGCAACTATTTTTACTTGATCCTTCTGCCCAAAAGATAAGGTTTCAGCTCTAATTTGGTTCCCTGCTTCTGAGAGATCCCAGCCATCACCCAGTCTTGCTCAGCCTCAGCTGCATTCCAGTCTCGCCTCTCCCTGGCTGCCTGGGGGCCAGAAGGGAGGAGGACTGAGCAGGGAGGCAGTTTTCATGCCTCTAGGCCCCTGGCTTCATCCCCTGATAGCAGAAGGCTTCAGAGAGAAACTCCCAACCCCTTCCCTCCTCATGTGAACTCTTGGCAGGAGACTGCAAAGACATCTGCTGACCCAGGGTGGGGGCAGAGGCTGTTCCTAATCCCGCCCAGCCCCGCAGCCCTGCCCTAGAAGCCCTGTGATCAGGGACAAGGAGTTCAGAAGATCTCCGGGCTGCCTCAGGCCAGCCCGACTTCTTAGGTTCCCCCACTTATTCCCCATTATTCAGTGGAGCCACCTCCCCTCTCCTGAGTTCTTTTACTCTCTCTGGAAGCTGCTGCTTTAAGAGGTCCAGGGAGTGAGTGTGTTAGGGCAACCTGGGGCCAGGGATGGGAAGCTGGGAACATCTGTCTCCTGGGACCAGGAGTTTGGCTTGAAGGTTTTGCCCCATAGTGAAGGCCAAAAAAAGGCTTCAGCCGAAGGCCCTAGGATCCAGGGTGCTTTGGGACTTCCTGTCAGTGGGCCTCTGGTGGATCGACCCAAGGAATCAGTTAAGGTGACAGGGTTGGATCTTCGTGGTATGTTGGATGGAGAAAGGGGTCCAGATTCAAGTTCCAGTTCTGCTGTGAACTCATGCTGTGACCCTGGGCAACGACTTCTACATTCTGTCAAATGGGAGCATTGAGTCAGTGGACCCCTCAGCTTCCTTCCAGCGCTGTGAAGACTGGGCTGGGAGAGAGTCAGGAGGCTGAGGCTCACAGCCCTAGGGCAGGCTGGAGGGAAGAGGGGAGGCTCTGGGGACTTGGCTTCAACCCAGCCGCCACCAGTGGGGGGATGATGGACACGAGTTTTGTGCTGGGGTCCCTGGCTCACCCCAGCCTGCCCCCACAGATGGACCCTGTGCAGAAGGCTGTACTCTCCCACACTTTTGGGGGACCTTTGCTCAAGACCAAGCGGCCCATCATCTCCTGTAACGTCTGTCAGATCCGCTTCAATTCTCAGGTAAGAAACCCAGCCGCTCACCCATCTCACGGGTGGGGCAGGGGCAGCCAGAGGGGCCTGGGGGAGAGCAGAGACTGGGAGCTCTGGGTGAGGGGCAGGGATTAAAGGGAAATCAGGGGAAGAGCAGGGAATGGGGATGCTGTAGAGGGGGCAGGCTGATGGAAGGCACTGGGAGGGACAAGAGATGGCTGTATGACAACATGAAGTAGCCCAGTCCTCTAAGGCTGACCCTTCCCCCACTTGGGGACTGAGGCATCCCTAGCTCCGAACTTAGAACACAGGTGGCTGTCATTGTCTGGGTGAGAGTGTGGCCTCTGGCCTCCTGGTCTTGGGTGCGGGGCTGAGTTATGTCATTGGCTCCCCTGCAAAGCCTGTGCCGTCCTGGGCCTCTGCTAAACTCCTCCCCGGCCCACCCACTTCCCTCTAAACCTCATGGCTTCCCCATCTCTCCACCATCCTCCCTCCAAGTCACACACAAGGCCTGGCCTGCACTGCTCTCCCATGGGGCTTTCCCATGGGGAGAAGCCACGCAAAACTCAGAACCGAGGTGTCTGGCCTCCCAGATGGTCTCCCTCTGATGCTCCCTCAGGGCTTCTGTGTCGGTCTGGAGGGGGCTTTGTGAGGTGCAGGTTCTGAGAGCTTTTGGAGAAAAACAGCAGAGCCTCATCCTGCTGAGTAGGGGAAAATAAAGCATGTTCTGTTTCTCTACCCAGTCCCCCGGCGCGCGCACGCACACACACACACACACACCCCATGCTGCCAGGCTCTGCACACCACTGCCCCACCCCTGGGCTGTCAATCTTCCTTTCCTGCCTATCCACACCTTTTATTTCTACTTTACCCCTGTCTGGGTGACCTTGTGGTTCCAGGATTGTGTGTTCTTAGCAGAGGGTGCACACGGTGTGGGGGTGGGGCCAGGACCAACCCAGCTGCAGACCTCCCCTTTACCTCAACCCCAGGCGTCCCCTCTCTCAACCCTGGCTCCCCTCACTGGTGGTGAGTGGAAGACTGGAGGGGCAGGCGATCAATAGCAGGCAGCCCCCCCTTTTTGCCCTCCCTTCTCTCCCCCAAAGTGGCTCTGTTTTGACAGCTGTCTCTTCTGCTGTCTCTGTCTCCAGAGCTGGGCTTGGGGCCAGGGTCCTCCAGGGTGTCCGCAGAGGCTACAGGGAAAATGAGACCCAGGGGGGAGTAGTCAGGGTGGACTGCAGGCCTCAGAGCTCCTGGGACTCCCGGCTTGAGGGTGGAAGCAGCGAAGACTGGATCCTGAGGCCAGGAGACACAGGCACATTAGGCGCAGGGTGAAGAGGAGGCGGACTGGCTGGATTGCAGGCCCCTGCCATTGGGGGCTCCATCATAGGTGTGAGATCCCCTCCTTTCACCTCAAGACTAGGTGGGAAGCCTGAATCAGCAGCCAGGCCCTGAGCATGGTGGTGCGTGGAGCCTGGGCGAAGTGGGGATCCAGGCGCCCAGCAACTCAAGCTTGAGAAGCTAGTCTGAAACCCCAGGAATCACGAGGGCTCCTCGCATGGGGCTTTACATCTCCCCAGTGTAGGGAGAAAGTCACTGCAGCCTGCTGAGGCCACCCCAGGACCCGAAGGAGCTCCATGGGGAGAATGGTCAGATACGAGGTGATCTCAGATTCCGTTTTCTTCCTCCAACCCTAAAGAGCCAGGCTGAGGCCCACTACAAGGGCAATCGCCATGCCCGAAGAGTCAAAGGCATCGAGGCTGCCAAGACCCGAGGCAGGGAGCCTGGTGTCCGGGAACCTGGAGACCCAGCCCCCCCAGGTGGCAGCCCCCTCAGTGGAGATGGTGGAGCCCCCCGTCCAGGTAGGTCTGACTCCTCCCGCATCCTTCAGCTGATCTTGTCTCCTCCATCCTGTCCTTATGTCCCAGAACTTTCCTCTGCTTTCATCTCTCTCTTCCTAAGCCCCCACCCCACCCCCGCCCAAGGTGAGTCCTAGAGCCAAACACAGTGATGCGAAATTTCCATCCTGTCACCCCCACTCCCGCCCCAGCTCCTCTCAACAGAGTCCCCACTGTCTGTCCTCCCCACTGCCCAGTGACTCAGAGAGGGGCTAGGGTGAGGCCACCTGGCAAACTTCCCTTTCAAGAAAAAGGGAACCATCCAATCCAGGGAGAGGCCCCTTCGTCTTGAGGAGAGGGGCAGAGGAGGGAATCAGAGTGTCCGAGGACCTGCCCGTGGGGGCAAGCCAGGCACCTCCCTAGGTAATCTTGGATAGATTTTCTGACCCCTTTGGACCAGAGTTTTCTTTCCTGGGAAGTAAAAGAGTGAGACTTGAAGATCTGAGAGGTCTTTTCCAGGTGTACAAAAAGCAGCTCTGAAATTCTTTCTCCCTCATGGCTGGTGGTCCTCTTCAACCATATTCCCAGTCAAGAAGCTGGAAAGAAAGAACATTAAGACAGGAAGTAGGAGCCACCCCCATCCTGGGATTGCCACCTCAGATGTCAGGGCCAGCCTGCGAGGGGCCCGGCATCCCCGTGTCCTCCTTGTCCTTGCCTGTCCTTCCTGCTCCAGCCTAAGTAGAATGAGAACCAAGCTTGCACCACTAGCTTGGGGGGCAGGCGCACACTCTTACCACTCACCACACACACACACACACACTGTCCCTCAGGGATGCACAGATAGGGCAAGTGGGTGAGCTGAGTCCTAATTGTGTTCTGGCTGCTTCTTAGCCCGAACTTCTTGGGTTGACTGGGTAATGTCTCTGCAAGACGGGGATAAGGATGGTGGCAGTGTAGCCAACAGTTCTTGCCTAGCCCTGTTCTAGGTGCCTGATGCATATTACCTCACTTTGTTCCTACGGTATCTCTCTAAGGAGGTAACCATACCTGCCCTGCTTTTGAAAGCCAGGAGGTCCTGTCCAGATTGAGATGTGAATGTGCTATCTGGATTGGGATGGAGGTGAAGGATGTCACAAATGAGGAAGACTTAAAAAAAACGGGAGACATGAAAGGAGGGATGAGCAAAATGGACACCTATAGGGGTCAGGAGGTTCCCTCCCACCAATTCCACACCCCACCCCCACCAGCCTCCCCCTGACCCGGAAACTGGATCGGCTGCTGGAGCAAGAATGGGAGCGCTAGAGTTTCCCCTGTGCAGAGGCCAGAGCCCAGCGCTGAGGCCTGGGGCCTGTGCATCTTTAATCGAGCCATGAATTATAGAGCAGCCCACATCCCTGCTTCTTCCCTCTCTGGTTCTGCTGTTTTCTGTTTCCCTTTTGCCATGTCTGTATCTGTCTCTCCCAACCTCCAGTCACCTTGCTTCTGCCCCTTCCTCGAGTTCTTTGGCATGCCTCCCCGGGGACTGCCCAGCCTCTGGGAGGGAGCCTGGCCAGGTGGGAGACCCAGGCTGGCTGGCAGGCCTTGGAGGGGTGAATCCCTGTTCCACGCCTCTTCCCCCTGCCACCCTCCCACCCCCAGGCTAGGCTGGCTGCCAGCTTCACCGTGGCTGAAGGGGAGGCCAGTGTGGCTGGCCCCCTCAGCCCTTCCCAGCTTATGGGGAATGAGCCAGGCATCGGAGTCTCACACCCAGCCTGCAGCAGCTGGACCACATCTGGCTCCAGCCCAGGGCATGAGAGCATGCATGTTGTCACAGGGTGGGGACTCCTGGGCCCTCGCCCTCAAGGAAATGGGGGTAGTTCTCCTTCACATAAAGAATCTTCTCCGAAAGCCATCTGGGGTGACCCCTATATTTCTCCCCCAACAACAGTTTCCATGGAGAATGGACTGGGTCCAGCCCCAGGATCCCCAGAGAAACAGCCTGGCTCCCCATCCCCTCCCAGCGTTCCGGAGACTGGTCAGGGTGCGACCAAGGGTGAAGGGGGAGCTCCAGCCCCAGCTTCCCTGCCTGGAGGTAGCAAGGAAGAGGAGGAGAAGGCCAAGCGGCTGCTCTACTGTGCTCTGTGCAAGGTGGCAGTGAACTCCCTGTCCCAGCTTGAGGCGCATAACAAAGGTATGGGCTCCCCGCCCACCCCACCCCCACCCAGTCCTCAACCTGCTCCTGCTCCCCACATCCTAACTCTCCTGGCTCCCAACATCCCTGGGTCCTCCCAGACCTACCAGCCTATCTCCCTCCCTAATCATCTTCTTCATTCCTCAGCCCCTTACCTCTTCAGTTCCCTCCCCACCCCACCCCCACATTATTTCTTGTAACTGTGACTCTCCCCTGATCCACCTTGTGTTTGGACGGGTCCCATGGGGCTTGAAAAAAACCCACACTTGATGCACCCTCCCCCCACCCCCAGTATTTTAATTGGAAATGTGGGCATTTGAGGCCTAGTAAGCCTGGATAATTTTTCTCCCCCCTTACCTTCTGCCCTCTGTGGGCTCCAGGTACTAAGCACAAGACAATTCTGGAGGCCCGAAGTGGGCTGGGCCCCATCAAAGCTTACCCTCGGCTGGGGCCTCCCACTCCCGGGGAACCCGAGGCCCCTGCCCAGGACCGAACCTTCCACTGTGAGATCTGCAACGTCAAGGTCAACTCGGAGGTCCAACTGAAACAGGTGGGTTCAAGGCCCTTCCCAAGAACTCTGGGGAGTCCACCCGCTAAGAGCGGAGGGAGAACAGGGAGCTTGGGTGAGGGCTCTTCTTCAGGGCCGTCCACTGGGGCCCCGGAAGGAGCGGGGCTGGGTTCTGGGGTGTGATTTCTCTGCTCGCTGGTGGTCCCTTTGTTCCCCGTGTGGCTCACAGCCCCCCACCCTCTGGTCCCTGCAGCACATTTCCAGCCGGCGGCACCGAGATGGCGTGGCCGGGAAGCCCAACCCGCTACTGAGCCGTCACAAGAAGCCTAGGGGCGCCGGCGAGCTGGCGGTGAGGCCTGGGCGCTGGACAACTTGGCGACGGGGGACTGGAGCCGGGAGGACGGGCCGGCCCTGGGAAAAGTGGAGTTTGCAGGGCCACAGAATGACTCTTCCCTCTCTCTCCCTGCCCCTCTCCCCACTGCAGGGCACTCTGACTTTCTCCAAGGAGCTGCCCAAGTCCCTGGCCAGCGGCCTGCTCCCCAGCCCCCTGGCGGTGGCTGCGGTGATGGCAGCGGCAGCAGGCTCCCCGCTGTCTCTGCGCCCGGCTCCAGCCGCTCCTCTTCTCCAGGGACCGCCGATTACCCACCCCCTGCTCCACCCGGCCCCCGGGCCCATCCGAACTGCGCACGGACCCATCCTCTTCTCCCCCTACTGACCTGAACCCTGAACCCCCTCCATTCCAACCCCCCCCCACCTCCAGCCGGGACCCAGGCCTCCGGGCTCCCAGCCCGCCCCTCCTCCCGGCACTCCCTGAATGATCTCTCTCCTTCCCCCCCACCCCGAGGTACGGGGTTCCAGGAAAGGGGAGGGGTAGCGGGGGAGGGGGGCTTCAGAAGGGGGGGAACACCCCAGATCTCAGGGAACCCCGCCCCCTGCCCTTCCCTCTCCTCTAGAAAAGGGGGGGCCGTCTCACCCCCGAGCCCCCTTGGAGACACCCCCCTCCCAAAAGCCATGTCCATCCAGCCCTTCCCCCCTAAACCTAGCACAAAACGGGGTTCACAAGCCATGGTCGGGGTCCAGGGGGCAGAAATGGATTTTCTTGGCAATAAGCGGACTCTGGGACTCCGGCCCCCTACCCCCAAACTGAAGCGCTTCCGTGAACACCCCCGTCCTCCGCAGGGGGAGGGGAGCAGGCGGGATCCTGGGTCCCTCATAAGCACTTTGGTTTTACCGCCTGCAACCTCACTGTGCCCGCCCCGCATCACGCCCCAGCCCAGGTCTAGCCGGGCCCATGGGCAGCACTTGGCGGCATCTCTGGCACTTGGGTGGGACCAAGTAGATGCCCCTATAGACCCTTCCCTCACCTTTGTCCTCCCCAGTCTGGATTCCATTCTTTTCACCAGCACCCATCGCCCAAGGGGTACCAAGGGGGGCAAGGGGTGTCCAGTCCAAGCCCACCCCCGCCTCGCCTTCCGCAAAACTGTGAGCAAAAAGCAATAGAAGCCTCGCCCCCGCCCCGCCCCATTCCGCAGGATTCGCAGTCTGTAGCCTCCCCCATCCCAGTTCCTAGACCTCATGGCTGTCCCCTCCCACCAGACACCTCCACTGCACAACTCGGGCGGGGTCGTGACCTCCCCCTACACCCCTGTGGTTTCCGTATCGTCAGCCCTTCCAGCACCAACCCGGGAGGGGGACGGGCCCCGCTGGCCTTCCCCTCCCCATCAACTCTTTCTGCTTGACGATGTAGCAACCCTGGCCCCCTACCCACGTCTCTCCCTTTTCCCTGACAATAAAGTCTGGATTCGTTGCCCTCCGTCCCCCAGACTCAGACTCTGAATCTTTGCCCGCTGTTTTGGGAGCAATTCCGCCAGGGGATGTATCTGTGTGATGAGGGGGGCCGGCACACAGGAAAGAGGGCCAAATGAGGAGGGGGACGGGAAAACGGAGGCGGGAGGAGGCAAGATCCGAGGCTTGCGCCAAGCGAGCAGAGCTCCCCATCCCTCTCACCCTAACTCCGGCCCGGCTCAAGTGTCAACTTGGCCCTGGGGAATCATTTCGAGTCCAGGTCTCGGATTGCAGCCATGGCTGTTGAGAATTCGCCGCAACTCCACCAGGCGGCGCCAATGACATGGAAAAGAAGACTCCCGTAGGCTAAGACGCTCCTGTGTGTGTCTGGAGAGTCTAGGGAGACGGGTCTAGACCCGGTCTCAGACAAAGAAAAGAATCCAGGCTTTTGTGGGGAAAACCCACGCCAGCGACACTCAAGGAGTGGGAAGAAGTGGAGTCAGGGACTTGAAAATCTGAACCAGGCTCTGCTCAGTCCTATACAAATAGTAACCTTGGGTTAGTAAGTCCTTATTCTCTCAGAAGCTCAGTTTTCCCATCTACAAAATGTTTGAGTCTCTTAAAAGTTCATTGAGACTTCACAGATCCAAGACCAAAGAGCTGGGACCGTGCCATTTACAGATATACTAGAATGCCTTCTTATCTGATTCCCTAAATGGTCTGCGGAACAGTAGAGCACACTCTGCATGCTGCTTTGCAGATCATGTGAGGGCAAGGGGTCTTCTCTTTATCTCCAGAATTCCATTCAACCACACACTCCCAAGAGCAGCCAGTGATTCTGTGACCCCTTGCCTCTAGCCCTGCTGGGTGGCAAGAAGTTCAAACAAGAAAGGCCAGACCAGAACCCAGCTACGTGGGGTCTTCCTGAATTGCATCTTCATTGCTCACTTCCACCTCTCTACCCACTTCCCAGTCCTGCAGAAGAAAGGGGGAAGGAAGGTGGAATGAGGACTGTTAAAGAGGAAGGAGGGGGGAATATGGGCCTCCTGGGTTAGTCAGTGATGAAGTTGGGGGTCGGAGTTTGCTGTAGGTTCAGAAATGAAGCCAACAAGCAGTTTAGGGGTTTTGTGTGTGTGTGTGTGTGTGTGTGGTTTTTTGTTTTGTTTCCCCTTTTTTTAACCCAGGTCGATTTAGCTAAAAAAAAAAAAAAAAGCAGAGACTGCAGATCTAGAAGTCTGAGAGACTGGAGTGGCCGGATAGGAGAGTAGACAGAGAAAAGCAGAAACTAGGGTCACATGTGGGAAGAGAGAGGGGGGCTGGAAGAAATTGGGGTTAAAGGGGCTGAGATATTAGCATGTCCCACTGGCACCTCAAAACTGGTGTGAAGCTGAGTTGTGATTTAGCCATTCCCTAAGCCTGCTCTGCATCCCACATTTCTGATCTCTAAATTTTTTTAAATAATTTTTTGGAGTGGGGAGATAATTAGGTCTATTTATTTATTTTTTTAAATGGCGGTACTGGGGATTGAACCCCTGACCTCATGCATGCTAGGCACACACTCAACCACTGAGCTATATCCTCCCCCCCAATCTCATTGATTAAGAGAACCGCCATCTACCTGGAAAATGGCATCCGTCTAGTCTCCCCTTCTCCTAACCC